ATTCCTTGCTTGAACCTACCTTTAGGGTCTGATTTACCCTTATCCATATTCAGTGCTTCTTACTCATGGCACGAGGCTCATCAGGGTTGACAAAATCCAGTCTCACATATGTCCAGGGCAAATATGTTCCAGGTGAGTGCCGTTGCTTTCTGCTGAACAAAAGCTTTCATTAAGAAAAAAAGTACGTTTGTAGCTTGAATGATTGCCGTTAGCTTTCCAAATGCAAACAAGGCTAAGTCTATGCAGTGCTGTCTTCCTAAATCCTCAGACAGATTCACTCATCTCTGCTGCCACACTTGGAGCTTCCACCAGTGGCAATACAGTGAAAACCAGCCAGTTTTGATTGTTTTCACTGCTGATCTTCAGATTCCTGTGGGCAGCAGAGAAACTGAGAAGAATTAGATAAATGTCATTCTGTTGCACCTGGGGAAGGCTATGATCAACAGCAACTTCAAGCACTGAATCTGTTTCCCTGTCAGGGCTGGGGAGAAGGTAGAATGGCAGAAATACTCTTGTTGCACCACCCAGAAAGCTAAGAGAGGAGTAGAGCAGAAAGAAACAAACACCCATCACTACAGACAGGAGGCCTGGGAAGATGTAAAGTAGTCTTCACAGCAACTGGGATGCTCTAGGAGGAAAGAACCACAGAGAGAATCTCCCTCTCCAAGCTGGAGATGGCTGTGGGGAGAGGTTGTCTTCAAATGTATGAGACACCAACTAGCTACTCCTCCAGAGCCTCTCTGTCACCTGTTTCTTCCGTCTCCCAGGTGCTCCCCAGAGTTCTCTCTAAACACGCCACATAGGAGGCAGATTCTCTAGTTCCCATCCCCTCTTCTTAGAAGCAGTAGTTAAAAGTAGCAGCAGCCTTTAGCACTGGAAATAGAGTTTGACAGGAGGGCAGGATCAGAAAAGAGCTGAGCAGACATCCACAGAATGGTGAGGAGGAGACTGTTTGGGGTTATGGAGCAGCAAGGAAGAAGTTACTCACTTTGTGCAGTAACACTGGGTCTTTGATATGTGTGTCCCTACGGGTGCCATGGCCCACCCTCCTCCCCTATATACTCCTGGGGGAATACTGCATGCATAATTAATGAGCTCTTCAGATTTCCAATTTTTTTTGCAGAAAAAAGCTTCTGCCAAATGTTGCTGCAATTCTGCCTTTTGCCCACCAGAGGGTATTGTGGTGCAAGAACAGCAGCAGCTCTCAGCAGAAAGAAAAGGAGTACTTGTGGCACCTTAGAGACTAACCAATTTATTTGAGCATGAGCTTTCGTGAGCTACAGCTCACTTCATCGGATGCATACCGTGGAAACTGCAGCAGACTTTATATATACACAGAGAATATGAAACAATACCTCCTCCCACCCCACTGTCCTGCTGGTAATAGCTTATCTAAAGTGATCATCAGGTGGGCCATTTCCAGCACAAATCCAGGTTTTCTCACCCTCCACCCCCCCACACAAATTCACTCTCCTGCTGGTGCTAGCCCATCCAAAGTGACAACTCTTTACATAATCAAGTCGGGCTATTTCCTGCAGAAATCCAGGTTTTCTCACATCCCCCCCACCCCCATACACACACAAACTCACTCTCCTGCTGGTAATAGCTCATCCAAACTGACCACTCTCCAAGTTTAAATCCAAGTTAAACCAGAACATCTGGGGGGGGGGGTAGGAAAAAACAAGAGGAAACAGGCTACCTTGCATAATGACTTAGCCACTCCCAGTCTTTATTTAAGCCTAAATTAATAGTATCCAATTTGCAAATGAATTCCAATTCAGCAGTTTCTCGCTGGACTCTGGATTTGAAGTTTTTTTGTTTTAAGATAGCGACCTTCATGTCTGTGATTGCGTGACCAGAGAGATTGAAGTGTTCTCCGACTGGTTTATGAATGTTATAATTCTTGACATCTGATTTGTGTCCATTTATTCTTTTACGTAGAGACTGTCCAGTTTGACCAATGTACATTGCAGGAGAGTGAATTTGTGTGGGGGGGTGGAGGGTGAGAAAACCTGGATTTGTGCTGGAAATGGCCCACCTGATGATCTCTTTAGATAAGCTATTACCAGCAGGACAGTGGGGTGGGAGGTTTGTTTCTTTCTCGTGTTATATAAAGTCGCGCAGTTTCCACGGTTGCATCCGATGAAGTGAGCTGTAGCTCACGCAAGCTCATGCTCAAATAAATTGGTTAGTCTCTAAGGTGCCACAAGTACTCCTTTTCTTTTTGCGAATACAGACTAACACGGCTGTTACTCTGAAACCTCTCAGCAGAAAATAACTTCTGCAGTTCCACCTTTTGCTCACCAGAGGGTGCTGTGGTGATAGAACAAAGCTGCAGCTAAGGAAGAGAAAGACTGCCTTCTTCACAGTGCCTGTGGCCATGTCAGGAGACGGGCTATGAGGAGACAGCATACAGTGCTTGGGGGCAGGTCAGATGGGCTCATAAGGGCTAGTGGGGGAGTACAGACTGGGGCAGGCACTGAATGGGAGTGGAGACACAGGGCCACAGGGGAGGGAGGTGCAGAGACACATGGGGACGGGGGAGGGTGTACAGGGAGACATAGAGATGGGGGAGTGGCTGGGTGGAGGCACAGAGACACATGGGGACAGGGGCAGATGTGGCTGATTGAATGGGGTCAGCCAGGGTCTGCATGGGGGAAGCTCCCTAACAATCGCTTCCCACCCACCAAAAAAACCTGTTCCGTACTTTTCCCACCCATACCCATCAACCTTCCAAGTTCACACGCAGGCTCCTTCCCAGCAATTTACTTCCCTCTTCCCTCAGCTCCTCCGTTACCCTTGACTCCCCCAAGCCTTTGCACTGTTTCTGAGGGGTGTGGGAAATATGGTTCTGTATTGTAGTTTAAATGAAGTATTACTCAGAGTTCTGTATTAATATGCCCAATAAGGAATTTATTTGTCAAAAAACATTTCCTGAATCTTTTTTGTTGTCTGTATTGTTACAGACATACTTGCTGACAGGTATTTTGAAATAAATTACCAAAATAATTGAAATTGGTGTGATTATATTGTGTTATTTTGACAAATAAAATATGCACAATTTTGCAGAATTTTAAAATATTGTGCGCATAATTTTTAATTTTTTGGCACAGAATTCCACCAGAAGTACCTATACTTCAGAGTTCTAGTAGTTGATTCTGTGTTAGAGAAGGAGCTGAGGAAGGATTGCCTGCGGATGCTGGCTAGCCTCGTGGCAGGCGGGGAGCAATGCGCAGGCTAGACTGATACAGCTACCAAAGTTCTCTGATTAGCAGCACAGGGATGCAGGAATAGAGAGCGGAGAACTGATAGACTTGGGGAGAGGAGCCCAGAAATGGATTAGTGAAAGGAAGGGAACAGAGAACTGAATAGACTTGGGGATGGAGGTAGACCTGATTACTTTTGTCAGGCTGCTGAATTTTTAGTCAGACTAGTATGTTTTAATAGGAATTTTGGAGGGTTGTCTTAATCTTAAATTATAACCCTGATACTTTCACATTAATGTAATGAAGATTTTGATTTGGCCCATTGTACTAAAGCAGACATAGTATTACAAACCTTTCAGTCAACAGTGCAAATCTGCTAAGTATTTGAGGGTTTAAATGTGCCTTGTAGACACGGCCCTGCACTAGAGGCAGAATGGAGCAGCACTGCCCCAAAGGGCATTCTGAGCTCCCTGGCATGAAGGGGAAAATTGGTATGCAGCTATTTATGGGTGCACGTTACTATCCTTGTATAGCCAGCCTGATCTACAGCAAGTGCTGCATGAGGGAAGCAATTTACCCTGCTTCTTCTGCCCCCTCCCAACCTCCTTTGGGGCACCATGTGCCTTGCTGTATAAACTGTGTGTATCTCCTTGCACATTCCCCCTTTCCCCTGTGTACCTACATAAGGTTGAGACAGAATCTAATCCTAAGGGGACAGACTATAGTAAAAGATACTGTTCTTCTGAAAGTTCATGATTTAGGAGTATAAATGAAAGGTATGCAGGGGAGGCAACTTGGCCCTTATATTTTTACACTTATCATAAAGGACTTTACTTCAAGTTTTGTAGTCACCGTGTTACAGTAAAAATCACTAACTAATTTCGTAAAATATAGGAGGAAATTGATTCATTTAAATTAATACTCTTCATGAAATTATGGAACAATTATGCAAAGAAAAATAGTAAAATATCTGCAGCTGGATTCTCCCTTCCCTTGTACCTTGTGTAGTCATTGGTATCTGTGCGAAGTGGGTATAAAATGCTACCAAATCAGAATGATAATGTTTTCTGCTCCCTTTGCACAGATGTTAATGATTATGCAAAATACCACACAGGGGAGAATCAGGCCCCATATATTTATATACTTAGTCTCCAAGTCTGAAAATTGACTTCAGTAGGGTTCCACATGGGAGTAGGATTCACCCATGTCAGTTTCTGTGGGCAGAACAGAAGTCCTGATCCAGGCCATATAAATTGATAGCACAGTACTAGATGCAGTTCTGCTGGTGGCCTCCTCCTAAAAATCCTGCTTCCTGGCGTATTTAGTCCCACCCGGGTGTATAAGAACTACGGTTTCCCCTCTCCTCAAAAATCCCTGGTTGATCACTGGTCAAAATGAAAACTGAGTACAGCAACTTCTGTTTGAAATGCCTTAGCACTGCTCTTAATAGCTTCCAAAATCACTTTCATAGAGGGTTTGTATTCTGTGAAGGTGAAGCGGGTTTAGGTAAACCGTCATTAGAAATCATTAGAAGGTGTTACACTGGCCTATGTTGTATGGACTTTTTGGTCAAATAAACTTGTTTTGTGATACCTTGGTCAAGTTGAATCAAAGCCATATAAAACGTTAAAGAAAAAAATGAGCACATCATGGGAATTTTTCAGGTGCACAATTCTGCTCAGTCCTGCCTGAGCTGTATTCACATGCAACACCAATATTAATCTTTAATCAAAAACAAAACAAAACACAAAAATCAACCAACAAACAAAAAAAACTTCAAGTATACACAGTAGCTACTTTATAACCATGTTTATTAACAACAAAATGGATTTACCTTTGTCATGAAGTTACAATTAACATTGTATTATAATGTAATGGCTAAAGCCATTGCAGCATCAGTGGAAGTGTCCCTTATACTTTCCATAACCGTTATAAAACTGATATTTTAACACCGCTCCCTCCCATATTGGCTAGCAGAAATGTCTCAGAACACATTCAATAGCAGATGATGTTTGGTGCCTGTGGAAGTGTCCCATATGTATCTGAATTAATGGCAACCCCTCATATGCTTCCTTTGACATTCCACGGGTTGGTTTAGATTTAAAAACTGATTCACCTTTTTGGATAATTATAGCAATTTATTTGATGTTGCAATTCATTTGAACTAAATTGATTAACATACTTGGAAAAAAATGTGAAGCAGAAATATGACGGCCAAATTCTCTTTGGACGTACACCTCCTTCAATCCTTCTGAACTCCATGGGATTGCACAAGGTATGAGTCAGAACAAAAATTGTCCCAGTGGGACAAGTTTACTCCTGGTGTAGGCAGGTGTAATCCCATTGAGATCAATGGAGTTGAGCCTCATTACACCAAAGAAGGCTGAATTTGGCCCACCTATGCTGTCCTTTGAAGTCAGTGGAGCCACACAGGGATGAATTTGTCCTCAGATGTTTAATCACTTTTTTCATTCCTTTGCTCTACATTTTATTTTTCTGCTTTGTTCTGTTTTCTTACTGACCTACTTTTCTCTGTGCTTTTTAAAAATTTCCCTTCTCTTCATTCCTTTTTATCTTACTATTTTGTGCGTTACTTTTTATATAGTCAATGTGACATATGGGTTAATTCAGCTAAGCATTAGTTTCCTCAGGAAATAACTGGAATATTATCATTTTCACTTTATACAGATGCCCAACAAAATAAGGGTTTGAATCTGGACTCCTGACTCAGGCAGAGCTCTTGCTGAAGTCCATGGAATTTTTGCTTGAGTAAGAACTGCAGGCCCAGACCCATAAATCGTACTGTATATCAGGTGTTCCTCAATACAGCAATAATTCAGTATGACTTGACTTATCACAGAAGAGTAGGTGAATTACCTATCAGCAGACTGTAATGAGAGCAGTCATTTAAGCAGGATTATCTCAAAAAAACATGTAACAGCTGTGGGCATGTGAATAAAAGTGTATGATCTTTGCAATCTTGAACCCTAGGCTAAAACACTATATCCATACTGAAATAAAAAGTATAGATCACATAAGCCAGGAGTATATAGAGTTTGTAAAACAAATAATCATCAAAAACTATTCTTTTAAGTTCTCTCTTCAATCAGGTACAACAAACATGCTGATCAGGAAACAGTTATTTGTGTAAGGCCCAGTCCTTAAACCCTTACTTAGAGCCAGATTCTGTCCTGTTTGACACCCTGCACAATCCTCCAATGGAGTGTATATTAGGGCAGAATTTGGTCCTTATTGCCTACTCATGTAAAACTCTTATTGACTAAAATGAGAGCTTTGACTTAGTAAGTAGTTCAGGACAAGACCCTTAAGGCCAAATGCTGTTCCCACTGACATCAATAAATTATTGATACTGATTTCGGTGGGAGCAGGCTTGGTCCTTATAGTGTAATTAAAGGTATACTGTGGACACAGGAAACTCCTGGTGAAGAAAGGTCAGAACAGCTCACTTTGTAAAAACACATAATAAACCCTCTCCAGATCTCCACAGATTCATTAATTATTCTCGCAATTTTCCATCAATATAATGTTAAGAAAATTCCTATATGATAAGAACTGTAGCTACAAAAAGAAGGATGTAACGGTGACAATAAAAAAAAAATCAGTAATTTCAACTTAAAAAAAGATAAGGCCTTCCTGATTTATCCGATCTTTGTGAAGACATTCACATAGAATCATAGAATATCAGAGTTGGAAGGGACCTCTGAGGTTATATAGTCCAACCCCCTGCCCGGAGCAGGACCAATCCCAACTAAATTTTCATATATAATTTATAGAATTCATTTATGTGCACAGAATTGTATTAAATAAATTAATTTAAAATGAGGAGAACTCAGGTATGTCATTTAAGCCAAAAATACCAAGTTCAGCAAGTAAAAATCAAGATCCTGATTCTGCAACTGCATCTGTGCAGGCAGAGCCTGTGCCCATGTGGAACCTCACTGATTTCACAGTAAGGCTCAATGTGGATGCAAAGGTCTGCTCAAGCAGATGCAGTTGCAAGATCAGGGCCCAATTCAGGATGCTGTTGTGTTCACATTTAATGAAAAAGGGGAGGCGAGTCTAATTACTGACACATTTGTTAGCTGTCCTGTGCCCAAGCTCTTGCCCCTACATCAGACCTAAGTACAGATTTACATCTACAACATTATGAGATTTTATATAAATGGCAAGAAAGGCACCATAAAAAATTAGGAAAAAAGAAAAGAAAATCCTAAAAATTAAATCGTTTTTAGATATTGTACAATACTTTAAATTTACAGATTTGGCTGGACAAACTGCAGACATTCAAATAAGTCAATATTTAAATGTTCTCAGATGTTGAAAAACCTATTTATCATCACAAAAATATCTTCGCAATTCGGCTTTAATATGATCAGGCTGCACATGAAGGATGTAGTAAAGGATGAATGCGATGGCAAATCAGTGATAGCTAATTGTGCTTCAAGACATCTTTCAGAATTTACCACGTGAGCTTTGTTCTGGCACAAGCCATAGAATGCAGCTTATCATCCATAGATCCTGTATCACTGACACAATATATACACTTTACAGTATGCATGTACTTTCACATAATAAGGTTATCATGTAACATCCAGGAATACTTTTGTAAAAGAAATATGGAGGCAGAAATTACAGTGGATTCATAGTAAACAGTTCAAGTCCTTCACAATACAATCTACAGCATTTAGCCATGATTAAGACTGCTCTGACATTTTTGATGTATAATAAATCCTCAGCAGGGCTGGGCTTTGATGAAACAGTGCTCTGAGTGAGCTGGAACTGGCACTCCCATACATTTGGAGTTCTTGTTGCTAGAGGTGGCCAGGCCCAGAACAGGTTGCCCATGAGTCAGTGGTACATGTTGGCTGTAATTTGGGGGGATACAACAAATAGAAATCTTGTTCAGTGCGGAAGGGTGGAGGCTCCTACAGGGTTCCATGGCAAAGCCCTGGTAAGGACCAATAGGTAGGCACTAGTACTGCTACTGCACCTCTGCAGAAGTGAAACGTAGAAAGGCTATGAGAGCAAGAGGAGGTCTCAGGGGAGAATGCTCAATATGCTGCATGTTTTGAATCCCCAAACTAGGTGGGAGGTGGTATGGGGAAGGAATCTGAGGGTCCTTTCCTGGAACCTTTGTAAAATGGCATTATAGAGCTAATAAGAATGTGACTCCTTTCCCTCTCTCCTCCTCGTCCCCTCGTTTTTAAAAATTCGGTCTTCTTCAATTTGGGCAATTCAGCCGTTTGTCTCTATTACCTCTCCCATTTCCTTACATGGCTTTTTGGAAGAAACACTAGCTGTCTGGGACCAACAGGCTGGAATTTTAAAGACCTTTTTCACTGTCCCTGCCTCCCTGCTGTTATTTTTCATTTTTTCCCCATCCCCTTTTTTCCTACCCCTTTTTTTCTTCTCCAAATTCATATTTTCCTTTGCTTATCGTATTGTCTCTCTTTTCCCCCCTCTTCACCCCTTCTGTAGTCTCTCTCTCTCTTCCCTTATCCCCTTTTTTTTCCCTCTGCTTTCAATACCCCATATGTTACCACGTTCACTTCCTTCACAGACTTCTGACACAGTATCATGGAGTATCAGGGTGCAATTGTGAAGCATGGTGCCACCTTCAGGGCAGAAAGAAGAACTGCCTCTAGTGAGCTGTAGCTCACGAAAGCTCATGCTCAAATAAATTGGTTAGTCTCTAAGGTGCCACAAGTACTCCTTTTCTTTTTACAATAAAGGTAACGCCCTCTCCTCTCCTGCTGATTCTACTTCCAGAATGCTTCAGATCCTCGGGAAGGGCACATCAGTGATATCAGCAAGTTTGGGGTAAGGAAAGCTGCCCCTGAATTTTTGGTGCAGTAGTCCAGATTATCCATCTCTAATGCCAGCCCTTATCCTTTGAATTTATACATTTCATAGCAAAAGAAGGTTCTTATCATAAAGAACAACCTGAAAGTGGTGTGCAAAGTACTTTGCCACAGCACTAAATCACCAAAAATGTTACAGAAATTAACATTCTAAAGCTGAGAGTGTTAAAATCACTGATTAATGATGAGTTAATGTGTATATCTTGCAACTAGCAGCCATTTCTAGTCCCATATTACTAGTTTCCTTGGTACCTTGCTAGCAGCTGTAGATAATATTTTTGTTGTAAACATAAACTATTGTCTAATTCAGGACATATATATTTTTAATTAATCCAGAAGCAAAGTGCTTTAAATCTTACAATTTTTACTTCTGTACTGTAGAAACAACACTATTTCTAAATGCTCAGACCTTTGCTTTCTGACACAGTCTGCAGTATTAACTTTGTAGATTACTCATTATTTACACCTACTGTACTACATAAAAGTGATGTACATTAGGTATAAATTTGAATTTTAGCTGTCACTTAAGCATGCATTTTCATGCAACTAGAAGATATGGGCTCATACAACTGCCTTTCAGATTCTTCCTGATTCTTACAATTTTATTTTATTAAAAAGGCTTTCAAAAGAGTTCATGCTATGATATGTATGACTAAAGGAATTACTCAGCCAATGAAGAAAACCCATAAATTGTTATTTAAGTTTGACATGAGGCAAGCTGAGTGCATCTGTACTGTCCCCTGGCTTGCAAATGCTTTGAGATGATCTTGATATTCCAGTCCTTAGAGAGTCAGTAGAGAGAGTTGTTTCCACTAATGAGCGAGAGATGCTTTCAAAAGCCTCTGTTTTTGTCTCTGCTTCCAACTCTTCATCTGTTATAAATAATTTTGACTCCCTCCATTTGGAGTACACTTCTTGGCTCCCTCTTGAGCCACTGGAGTCATTCCCAGCAATCTGTACATTCAGTTCTTCAGATGATTGTATAAGATTTTGTACAGATAAAGATTTTCCTAAATCCATTTGCACTACTGGTTTAACTGGGACCAAGGGTTCCCCTTCTGTATCAAGGCTTTTTCTCCATGAAAGATCCTTTGTCACTTTGTGCTGTGCAACTTTTCCATTATCCTTTAACGCAACAAGGCAAGCGGTGACATCAGAAATATTTTCCTGTGTGGTAGCAGGAGTAATATGAAGAGGCTCAGGCCAGTTGGCATGCTTGACTGAGGAGAAAGGTGGTATTTGTAACGTTGTTGGTGTTGTTGGCTTAGTTGCCTGGTTTATTTGGTTTGATGTATTATTAGTTATTACTGTTGCAGGTCCATCATTTGGCACCTGTGTTGCTTGACTATGCATAGTTGGACTAAAAGCATAGTAAGCCTGAGTGCTAAATTCATTTGGTGTCAGTATAAGCTGTAGGCCACGAGGCATGTTGGCACTAGCTGATCTGGATACACATCCACTAGTTTGTGCAGAACTAGATAAATCTTTGCTGTCTACAGGACTTTGATAATCAGAGGTCTGGTCGCATTCAAAAGATGGCATTTGAAATGAAGCCAAAGTAAGCGCTGATGCAGATCCTTTCCTTAAGACCTGTTGATAAATATCTAACAGGCTGTCCAGCTTTGACTCTATGGATTGTACCTGCAGATTGGGGAAAAAAGGTTAAAGTAAGTTCAAAATATTATTTAAAAATATTTGCCTCCCTAGAGCCTCTCTAGAATCTAAGCAAAGAGAAAATGTAAAAGATAATAGGAACAATCTGCATATAAAGGAAATGTGTGTTTCTCTGTATAAAAATGCTACTCATCAAAAAAAGAAAGCTATTAAAAGCAGTGTATTTACAGATGCTTCATGATTAAGTTAATATTTTAACTATTAAATGGTGCAGATTTCAGTAGTGTATGTGTCTCCATTTCTGTATACAAAACACATGTAATGTAATATAATTTGTGTGTGTTTTACTTCAACATTTAGAATAGTGCAGACACCAGATAAAGTTATTTTACTAAATTGTTGTAAATTGAAAAATCCATTATTAATTATAGAAAGTTATAAGCAATAAAACAAAATCATGGTCTCATACAGTCACTTTACCTGCTTCTCCACCTTGACTACACGCCCTAACATACTAAGGTCATCAGTTGTTTCATTCTCTGCAGTATTCTTTTCTCGATTTTTCTTATCTGTTGTGATTTGTCCTTTTCCAAGAATCTGGTCAACGCTGTGAAAGAAATTGGAGACTATAATGATTCCTGAAAATGGTGAAATTGTGGAAGTATCCACTGTTCACATCTATTGAAAATTACAATTACAACTACTATTTAACAGTTTCTGAAAAATACCTAAGAAAAAGGATGGATTTATTTTTGTTAAAATAATAGTAATCAAAGTTCACAAAAATACTATAAAAGAGTGTGGAATGATGTTTAAAGCATCTGGGGAGAGCAAAATGTGAAGTTAAATGGCAATGAAGTTATATTTACTGTTAGTTGTGAGATCTGTTACACATATAAATAAATGATAATAGATACATATTTGTGAGGGATAGTTTAGTCTCAAGCTATTGGCTCAGTCCTCCAAACACTTACTACTGGGTACATTGCTCACTACCATTCGTGGTCCGATTGATCAAATATGAACAAAAGTGTTTAAAGGATGGGGCCCAACATTTATATCTCATGCTTAGTATTATCTGTATTAAACCAGCACAACATAGAATTTTTAAAAAAATCAGTAGGTGTTGAGAGTGGTATGGAGAGATTTATTGTAATGTGTGCTCTTACTCTAAACTAGTGACATGAAGCAGGGGACAGTTGCTTAAGAGAAGGTTTAAAAAAAAATATGTTCAGCAATAAGGGCGATAGGCTTTGAATTATATATATATATATAATTATATATATAGTGCTCACTGAAATAAATCAATATCTCTGATAACTAATACGCAGTATTGAGCCCTCCGGGTGTTCTTCAGATGTCATTTCATAGTGGCCAACCGGCATACAGTATATAGGAGCCAGAGGTGGAGGGAACTGCAAAACTCTGCATTGGAAAGGCTGAGCACAAACAGAGAGCTTGGGCTTCTAAATCTTGGAAATGCTTCCCAAATGCAAATATAAGGAGGGATATATATGTATCATGGACGTGTCAGTTTATTACTGTATAGAGTCCAGAATATTAAAATATAGGATCCGGACCATTGTGGTGCTATGGGTCCTCAGCTTCTGTTAACTTCAATGAGAATATAAGGGATTGGAAAACAGTTTTCAAACAGTCACTGTATTAAATATTCCATCAGTTTGAGTGCACTTAAAAAAAGGGGGGGGCTAAGTTTTTTAATTTTCTGGGCCCAATTTACATCCACATTTTTTCCACCCACAATTTAATTGCAGGGCTAACTGCATTCACAGAAAGGAAGACCAAGCTGCAGTAGAGGTGAAACTTGGGCCAAAAAAAAATTGGTAATATAAAAGACACACAATTCTTCTGGTGCTAAATGACAAAATAGCTCAAGGTATTTTTATACAGGAAGGATCTTCAATGATGAAGGATTATTTTTTCCTTACCGGGACTGAAGACTTTTTATTCTGCACAACATATCAAGGTGACCAGCTGAATACTGTTCAATTACATCTTTTACATCATATGGACGTAATGTCTCTTTAAACTTTCTCTTTGCAACATGAAATTTCATGATTCTGTGGAAGAAACATTTTTCCAGATTAATCCTTATACATTTTTGTAAAACAATAAAGGCATCAATACTGAGTCAAATGTCTATCTTTTCATAATACTGACAGCTTAGTGTTACATCAGCTAAATTAAATTAAGGCCTTGTCTACACTACAAAGTTTTGTCAACAAAATGCAGCTTTTTTCAACAAAACAGTGAATATGTACACACTGCGATGGGACTTTTGGTGGCAAAAATGCCGTGTTTTGGTGGCAAAATACAACCACCCCAATGAGAGACATAAGTCTTTTTCCTCTAAATTTTTGCCAACAAAATGCCAGTGTAGACACCACACTTGATTTTATTTCTTTAATTGGCCTCCAGGAGGTGTCCCACAAAGCTCATCGTGATCATTCTGGTCAGCAGTTTGAACTCTACTGCCCTGCAGTCAGATAACAGCCATCCGCCCCTCCCCCTTAGAAGCCCCCGGAATTTTTGAAATTCCATTTCCTGTTTGCTTGGCATGGAGAGGTCTCATTGCATCCTCCCAGGCGACCATGGCAGGTAACTGCAGCAAACGCTCTCCTTCTTGGACCAGTGCTGGATCCTCTCAGTATATGAGGAGAGGAGGCTGTGCAGTCCCAGCTGCACTTGAGTCGTAGGAATTGGAATACCTACAGGCACATTTCTCGAGGCTTGTGCGAAAAGAGCTGTGATCGGGATGCGCTGCAGTGCAGAGCGAAGATAAAAGAGCTGAGGCAGGCATACCATAAGGCGAGGGAGACAAACGATTGCTCCAATGCTGCACCTAAGACGTACTGGTTCTATAAGGAGCTGAACGCTATCCTCGGTGGTGACCGCACCTCGACTGCCAAGAGCCCCGTGGGTACTTCGGTGGGCCTGGAGGCAGTGGAAAGAGGACCTAATCCGAAGGACAAAGTCATTGATGAAGAGGTGGAGTTAGACAATGATGTGGAGCTCCTGGCAGGGTCACCCAGTGAGGCAGGCATCCAGGAACTGTTCACCACTCCAAAGGTGTCTAGCCAGTCTCAGCAGTTGCTCTCCGGCGAGCAAGAAGCAGGAGAGGAGACATCTGGTAAGTGGCTGTGGTTTGTGTAATGTGTAGGTGGGTTCAGGGTATAGAAATGTAGAAGGCTGGCTGTGTTTCTGTGAGATGGACATTTCTCTGTGTAGCTAATCAGTATGGCGGAACAGGGTGTTGATGCACGCCGAGATCTCACAGGAATCCTCCAGAGAGATCTCCAGGAAAGTTTTCTAGAGGAACTTCATAATCCTCTGCGGAAGGTTCCTTGGCAGAGAAACTTTGTTCCTTTCCCATTGTAGGAAACTTTCCCGTGCGATTCAGCAATCACTTGTGCAGGGACCAAAGCGGCACACAGACAAGCAACATAGGGAGTAGGGCGGAAGCCACAAGCATGTAGTAGATGTACCCTCATGTGATGGGATGGACTAGGTCCAAAGGCCCCTTGCTAGAGGCCTCACAGTTCTACCACACTCATTCCAAGGAAGGAGCAGTAGAGAGGTCCTCCAAGCAGGCTAGAGTAGCTGCAGGGGAAGCAGCCAATCAGGGCCCCGGAGGGCCATATAAAAGGAGCTGCAGAGCAGAGCAGTAATCAGTTACTGCTTGGAGCAGGAGAAAAAAGGACTGCAGGCCTGGATGCCTGGAAGAGCAGTAGGGCTACGGATGGTTTGCTAGCAGAGACCAGGGGAGCATTGAGGGAGCTCCTGGCTGGTTGTTGGGACTGAGTAGGTACTGAGCCTGGGGAGGGCTGCAGGAAGATAGTGTCTCCAGTGAGGAAGCCCTGGAGATACAGTCCCATACCAGGGCTGGACTACTTAGAGACCAAAGCGCAGGGAGGTCTAGAGAGAGAGGGGGGTACTGAGATAGGCCCCAGTGGACTGTATACCCTGGAAGGAGTTTGTGCTAGTTAATATGCAGACAATGTGACTCAGCTGGAGCACTGTGTTACTGATAAACCTGCCTGAGAACCACCAAAAGGAGTCACTCCTCCTATGCAGAGAAAAGGGAACACAAGGAGTGGTAGAAGCTGAAAGGCAGGCCAGAAAAGAAAATCCGGAGTTTGTTAAGGACACTACTGAGCGGTTGATTAAAGTAATTCAGGAGCAAATGCAGAAGCTGAAGTCCTTAATAATGCTGCAGACTGAGGAGATCAGTACCCGCCCTCCCCTGCAGCACATTCAGAACTCTCTTCTATGCCCCCCCAAACTCCGCCCACACAGTCCACTTTCTGGAACTTCTCTGTTTCCCCTTTATTCCACCCCCTCAGACAACTTTCTTAATGATAGCTGGACCTACACACAGCTCTGAAAATCTGCCCTTCCCTGGTACCTTCTTTCCCACCAAGCATCTTTGGGTGTTTTGGATGTGTTGTTTCTTGTCCAATAAAAGCAAAGTTTTTGAGTGGTAACTCATCTTCAGGATGTGGAGTGGAGCCCGCGGAGCAGCTCCGGAGCAGTAGAGCTGCAGGTTTTTGCCTGGAGCTGGAGCGGAGCCAGAGCACAGCTCCAAAGCCCTGCTCATCTTTATTTGTTTTCTGCAAATTGAGATAGCAAGCAATACCAATACATACACAAACAGTTTATTCATGTGCTTGCTGGAAAGTAAGGCCCCAGATATCACTATTACTTCCTAGGAAAACTACATGTAATGTAACATTGCAGCACCAATCACAGAGATAGACATTACTGGTTCTCATTTTCAAAGTGTTGCCTCAAAGCCTCCCTGATTCGAATTGGCCCCCTCTAGCTCCTCTGATAGCCCTTGTACCTGGCTGCTCAAAATCAGCAGCCAAGCGCTCTACCTCCACACTCCACTCAAACCTTTCACCACTCAAAGCTTCACAAAGATTATGCAATGTACAATATGCGGCTATCACCATGGGAATATTATTCTCATTAAGGTCTAATCTGCCATAAAGGCATCGCCAGTGCACCTTTAATCTGCCAAAGGCACATTCCACTGTCATCCAGCATCTACTCAGCCTGTTGTTGAACTGCTCCTTACTGCTGTCCAGGTTTTCCGTGTAAGGTTCATGAGCCACAGCTGTAAGGAGTACACTGGATCTCCTAGGATCACTGTAATCTTCTGGTTTGGAAAGAAAGTCCCCACTTGTACCTTTCTATACAGGCCAGTGTTCCTGAGGATGCGTGCATCATGCACCTTCCCAGACCAGCCCACGTTGATGTCAGTGAAACGCCCACGGTGAGCCACAAGTGCCTGCAACACTATGGAGAAGTACCCCTTTCCTATTGATGTACTCCTTTGCAAGGTGGTCTAGTGCCAAAATTTTGCCATCCATCGCCCCTCCACAGTTAGGGAAACCCATTTCTGCAAAGCTGTCCACTATTTCACATACATTTCCCAGAGTCACGGTCCTTCATAGCAGGATTCAATTAATTACTCTGCACACTTGCATTAACGCAGCCCCAACAGTCGACTTCCCAACTCCAAATTTATTCGCAGCCGACTGGAGTCATCAGCTTCCACACAGTGATTGCTACACGCTTCTCTACCAATAGGGCAGCTCTCATTATGGTGTCCTTGTCCCGTAGTGCTGGGGCGAGCTCTGCACACAGTTCCAGGAAGGTGGCTTTCCACATCTGAAAGTTCTGAAGCCACTGCTCATTATCCCACACGTGCATGATGATACGATCCCACCATTCAATGCTTGTTTCCCAAGCCCAAAAGTGATGGTCTACCCTATGCAGCTGTTCTGTGAATGCCAAAAGCAATCTAAAGTTGCTCCTAGCCATATCACATAGCATGTCACACAACTGGGAGCTTCTTCAGTTAGGAACTTTGTGATTAACTGCACTGCCATCTGCAATGTCTTCATGACAGCTAACAGAGAATAGGAGAGCAGTGCAGGATCCATCCCGTCTCACAAAGATACCTGGGTGCACAGCAAAGAAGGGCCGTTGAAAAATGCCGCAAAAGAAAGCCAGAAGCCCATGGAGTGCTGGGACAGAAAGCAATGCATCACGGGACATTGAGCCCAGTTCTAAGATGTGCTGCAATCCGCTCCGCCTTCCCACAACACCTAGTGACAGAAGGTGTCGAGCTGGACTGTGGGATAGGTACCCACAGTCCATTGCTCACATTGTTGATGATAGTGCCCCAACTGTGGACGCACTCTGCCGACAGAAGGAGCGAGTGTGAACACGACACTCCGATTTTTATTATGCAGATTTTTGAGTGTCGACATCACTTTTGTCGTCAAAGCTTGGTAGTGTAGACAAGGCCTAAGCTAAGCTGATGATATTTTCTTCTGAACTCTTGAGTTACACTCAGCAAAACCCTTCTTTTTCAAGGTGATTTGTGGAGTTTATAAGCACAATTCCACTGAAGTCAGCATTTTGCAAGTTTAGAATTGTCATCTTAAAGACATGTTACATGGGATTTTAAATAGCTTGTTTAAAGTTATAAATGTGTGCCCATCAAAGTGTTCTCTTCTGTTAGGTGCAAATTCAGCAAGGTACTTAAACATGGTGACTAGTCTCACTGAGGTCAATGAGGCTGCTCAGATCCTCAAAGTTAGGCTTGTGCTTCAGCAACTTCTTGTACCAGGATCTTAATGTTGAAGGAATTTTCATAGCTAAATCTCAACAAGTCATAAGTTTTGTTTTGTTGCTAGATTGGTTCCTTTCAAAGCTTCCCATTTTGTTAGCAAATGCCCTCCTAGTTATATGTGTATAATTTTAATCTAACGCACTCCAGTGCTGAATAACTTAAATGATAAAAATTGCCATGCTAATTGTACTCTCCTTTATATAAACAAATCTGTGAACGTTAAAGGGTGTGCTTTTATTTTCTACTGAGAAAATAGTAGGGTATATCCATCTATATCTAGGTAGCTATACCTAGACATATATGCAGTGTAGTTCTAATCAAGTTGGTCCCAGCATATGAGAGAGACAAGGTGAGTGAGGTAATATCTTTTACTGGACCAACTTCTGTTGGTGAGAGAGACAAGCTTTCAAGCCA